AAAACCCCAAGCAAAAAGACAGAAAAAATTCGTCGGTCGACCGAAAATTTTCATCGGTCGACCGGACCGGTCGACCGACAGGCTTTCTGTCGCCCAGTGAACTTTTGACCTCAGGTTCGGTCGACCGGTGCGGTCGACCGAAATCACAGGTTCTGAAAAATTGTTTATCTGATTTTAAAACGCTGTTTAAAAATATCAAATAAATTCCAAAAAATGTAAAACTTTGGGGAATGATTGTAGACATGATAATAAACATGCTACAATGACTGGTTTCGAAAAAGGACTTCCCAAATGAAAAATATCATCATTTTACAAAATAGTCCAAAACATAAAAATATGAGATACTTGAATTTTGATGTTTTGACATAAACCAACTTTTGAAACTTTGTGAAATATTTTTAGACTTAGTAAAACATGTATAAACTAATATTCAAGTCTACAAACAGACTTGATAAAAGATATAACATGTTGTTATGAAGTCTATAAACTAGAAATGCAATATTTTCATGAAATTGCATATTCTATGCAAATATATTCAAAACACTAAATATGATTTCATTAAATATAAGCTTGTTAAAGGGGAAATCATATATAGGCATATAAACATGAAACAAAATAGTATTTTCCAATTCTATTCATTTGTTTCATAGTAAAACTTGAAAACTATCAAACCAAAACATATATGTATATATATAACTATATATATACAAAAACCAAAACGTGTATGTGTGTATATGATTGAGCTTAAAGTACTAACACACATAATATAAATTCCTAAACTAAATTACCCAAGCAATGATCTTGATCTTCAACGAAGCTCTATCTTGGTAATCTTGCGGATGAAGCTTGAACTTGGATCTTGACTTGAATGTGCATTGCTTCACTCCACTATTCTGCCAACCTCCATTAGATATGATCGTTGAAGCTCTATTCCATCCATCCTCCAACATATATTGTTTGCCTAGAATTAATATAAAACACAAACACTAGACAAACAATATTAGATGTAATTTGCCTAGAATTAATATAAAACACAAACACTAGACAAACAATATTAGATGTAAATTGTTTGTAAATCATCATCAAAACAACACTAGACAAACAATATTAGATGTAAATTGTTTGTAAATCATCATCAAAATAAGAAGGCCAACAAGAAGGGTATGACCATTCTCAGCAGATGTGGTCTGCTTGGCGGTGAGAAGATATCAAAGCTTGACTTCTGTGAGAATTGTGTCTTTGGTAAGTAGTTTAGGATGAAGTTTGGCACTACGGAGCATTGCACCAAGGGTACATTGGATTACATTCATTCGGATGATTGGGGTCCAAGCAAAGTTAAGTCTTTGAGTGGAGCTAGGTGGTTCGTGGCATTTATCGATGACTTCTCGTGGAGAGTTTGGCTGTACACCATGAAGGAGAAATATGAAGTCACTGGTTTCTTTATTAGATGGAAGACAATGGTCGAGAAGCAGACTGGTAGAGTTGCCAAGTAGATTTGGTCAGATAACGCAGGTGAGTACACCTCTGATCTGTTGAAAGACTACCGCAGGAAGCAAGGCATTGTCAGACATTTCACAGTGTGCGAACACCTCAGCATAATGGAGTAGCGGAGCTTATGAATCACACCCTACTAGAAAGAGCACAATGCATGTTTATCAAATTCTGGTTTGGACAAGTGTTTTGGGCTGAAGCAGTAAACATGACATGTTATCTCATGAATCGTTCACCAAATACATCCATTGATTTGAAGACACCTATTGAAGTATGGTCTGGTACTCCTTTTGATTACAATCATTTGAAAAATCTTTGGCTGCCCTGCTTATTTTCACATTCAGGAAGATAAGATTGATGTGAGAGTCTGAAAATGTATTTTTTGGGTTATCGAAGTGGTGTGAAGGGATACAGATTGTGATGTCTTAAGTGGAAGAAATGTGTGATCAATCGGGACATGACATTCAATGAGTCGGCCATGCTAAACTCGAAGAGTGTAGATGTGGGAGATGTCAGCTCAGTTAGAAACACCAGTTCAATGGGAATTAGGTTGGATGGAAGTAGTAAACATTTTTTGGAGGTGGAATTCACAGGTCCACCGATGTCTATTGATGATGCAACAGTAGAATTAGAGGTTCCAGATGAGGGGCCTATTCAACAACGACAACAACCATCCTTGGTAGGTGATAGAGAGAGAAGACTCAATGTGGGGAAGGCACCAGTTTGTTATGGTTTTGAGAATATGACAACCTATGCTTTATCTGTGTATGGAGATGAGCCTGTTACCTACAATGAGGCTATGAGAGGTGATCGTAGCAAGGAGCGGATGACGTCTATGAGGGAGGAGATGAGGTCCCTTTATAAAAACCATACTTGGGATTTGGTGGAAGCACCAAATGGGAAGAAGCCGATTGGGTGCAAGTGGGTCTATACGGTGAAGGATGGTTTTCCAAGCTCCGATGGAAGTACAGGTGTACGGCACAAGGAAAGATTAGTGGCAAAAGGGTATGCACAACTAGAAGGTGTTGACTATAATAAAGTTTTCTCTCCGGTCGTGAAGCATACCTCTATCCGGACCCTTTTAACAATGGTTGCGCAGTATGACATGGAGCTCGAGCAATTAGATGTCAAGACTGCATTCCTGCATGGAGATTTGGAGGATATTTATATGTCATAGCCCAGTGGATTTATAGTTTTGGTAAGGAGGATTATGTGTGCAAACTGAAAAAATCATTGTATGGATTAAAGCAATCGCCACGACAATGGTATAAAAGGTTTGAAACATTTATGATACTGCAGAAGTTTACACAGAGTGAGCTTGATCATTGTGTGTACTTCAGGCAGGTTGGTGGTTCTTTCATCTATTTGTTGTTCTATGTTGATGATATGATTATTGCTTCACATAGTATGGTGAAAGTCAACAAGGTGAAGAAGAAGTTGAGTTCCGAGTTTGAGATGAACGACTTGGGTCCTGCAAAGAAGATACTTGGGATGGAGATTGTTCGAGATAGGAAGAATGGGAGGTTGTGCCTTTCTTAAAGGCGGTATGTGGAGAAGGTGTTGGCTTGTTTTGGGATGCAAAATTCGAAGCAAGTTAGTACTCCATTTGACTCCTCACTTCAAGCTTTCAGGTCTGCAGTCTCCTACTACTGAGATGGAACGTGAGTACATGTCTCAAGTTCCGTATGCTAGTGCAGTTGGTAGCCTTATGTATGCTATGGTTTGCACTCGTCCAGATCTTGCACATGCGGTCAGCTTGGTTAGTTAGTATATGGCAAATCCGGGTAAACAACACTGGCGGGCAATCAAGTGTATTTTACGATATCTTCAAGGATCGTTGGATGTTGGTTTGGTTTATTCGAAGACTGAAGAGTCACATGTGAGAGGGTTCGTGGATTCGGACTATGCGGATGATTTGGACAGGCGTCGGTCCACCAATGGGTATTATTTTGTTCTTGTCAGTGGTCAGATCAGTTGGAGGTCTATGTTACAATTTACTGTGGCGTTGTTTACTACAGAGGCAGAGTACATGGCAGTAACAAAGGCGATTAAGGAAGCGGTGTGGATACGTGGCTTGGTTGGTGACTTGGGTATATCTCAAGAGGTTGTTGAAGTGCACTGCGATAATCAAAGTGCGATTCATCTTATGAAGAATCATGTCCATCATGCTCGCACCAAGCATATTGACTTCCGATTTTATTTTATCCGTGAGATAATTGAGAGTGGCAAGATTCGACTGACGAATATTGACACTAAAGAGAACTCAACGGACATGTTGACAAAGGTTGTTCCAACAATCAAGTTTAAGCATTGTCTCAACTTGATCGATGTTCTTCAGTGTTGAGGCCCTTCGGGGCGATTTGATGGCGATGGTTGTTGAAGAGATTCAATGTTACTTGGGTGATGAAGACTATTGGTGGCTTAACAATTTCGCCAAGGTGGAAATTTGTGAAGTTGGTTGTATTGAAAGCCACCCACCGGTGGCTCATATTGAGCGACAAATTGTCAGACCTCTTTGTCGACTACAGAGTCTGAACACACTGATGGGTCCCACATGATTTGGACGCGTTTGCCAGTCCTGTTTGGATTTGGATTGGGGAGTTGTTTGGCTAGTTGGACTCTTGTTTTGATTCAGATTGGGGAATTGTTTGGCTAGTTGGACTCGAATTTGAGGGAGGCTATAAATAAAGATTGTCTAGAGTTTCTCTATGTATCTTTGACAAGAAAAATTGATAATTATTTTAGCTTTGTAAGGGAGAGAGATTAGAGTTTCTAATCTTCTCCGTCTTCGTTGTAACCTCTTGATAAATAGTGAATTGTCGATCTCGTCGTTCTACCACATACAGAACCAAAGTGCTAATTATATAATCAAGGAGTTAATTAGAAGGGAGATGTCATAGACTCCGCAACCATTTACGTATACGTTCAAGGTTCTGTCCACGGGTTCATTCTAAATCTGAAGTTGCTTCATCCATTAAACAATGCACACCTATAATTAATTTAATGGTTTCCCGATTATTTTACAGTCAAGACAATCCTAATCCATTTGCCACTAGCAAAGAAATCAATTAGATTAGATGAAGATGAAAAAGTTTAGGTATTAATGAACCCCACGAATCATCTTAATCTCCAAGGCTTAAGGGAAGTAAGAGGAAAGGATTTATTACCCTCCCACGAGAAGAATACGCTGTCGCTTGCGAGAGAGATTTTTCGATTTTCTTTCTTTTATCTAGTATAATATAACATAATAAGTAGGCAGCTGCAGCTGTAGAGTCATGCAAGTCATGGCTATTTCTTCAGATTTTGCTGATTTCATCGTACGTACTTGCATCAAGTAAAGCCTTAAAGCATGCCACTGAAGTTGTTCATGGTCATTCGTGAAAATTACTGATAACTGATCCCTATCCCTTCATTGTAATACTAAATACAGTTTGAAACTAAATCAAACACAGTGAAGCTCTGAACTAGGCGAAAGAAAACCTATGTAACTCACAATAAATGTCTGGAACTGCAAAAGGTGTCATGGAAGTCAATAACACTGCCTATTAACACAAACTAGCACTCCTTACACAACATATCCAATACAGAACATCAAATAGATCTCTAGCTTTATATACATTAAACTACACGTCCTGATCTCCACATAATTAGTAAGGTAAACACAAAGAAGCAAATATTTTAGCTGAGGTATTTACAGAGAACAACACATGATCAATAAACTTCAAAGGTCATCCTCATCATACAGCAGGCACGTAGCTGTCATCGTACATAAGCTCTTCCAGCCCGGTCATGAGATCCGTGTCTTCGGCCTCCTCCACATCATGCATAACTCCTTCCTGTACCAATGTTCAGTAAAAACTTTTAACCAATCTTTGCATATAAGCAGAAACAATCAAAAAGCACCAACGAGCCTATCCGAAGATTATTATTAAATAAAACAAGAAAATATAGTGCCGGCTATCACTGTTGATCCACGAAGCTATGCTCATGCTTAGGAGTATATTAGTGTCTTTAACATGTCCAGTTATTGTCCCTTTCGTACCAGCTTGACCATCTTGTTACCTACTATAAAAAATTTCAGAAATGTTCCTTAGCTATAGAGTCCATATCAAAACTTGTTACGTTCATATGATGTTGCAAGAGATCGATATTCACAAACAAGGGATGATTGCATTTGCAAAACATGGGACACTAGACATCCTCATTTGATTAATTTGGTCGTTCACTTGGACTTTACCGTCTCGAATATGTCAAATGTTAAGCGTCAATAAGGACACACAGATAAATTGAAACAGTTAAAACATGATCTGATTCCACTGCAAATTGTAGGTTAGGAACCAAAACTTATAATGCCGTAGATCATGCATCAAGTATGGATCTAATAGATAGGTAGAATCACTCTGCGTGGATTTTGAAAGATCCAAATGTTGGCCCAATAGCTCACAAATGATTTGCAGTACATAAAAGAACTCATCTTTATATAGTAAATGTTCCTGTGGAGGATATATCCTTTTCTCCTATATCCTTGGCCATTCTACATATTAGTTGAGCAATGTTTACTTGTTTGTTATGTACATAGGTTGCATCGGGGTCCAGAATCCAGAGTAACTGAATCCAGGTTTGAATCCCCTAGATATGTATCCACTAGGTTCCAACACAATGGCTGGTTATCACAATGAGTCACTAAACATATTTTTAAACTTAGGCCACACTTAACCGGACAACCTTACAGCAATTCAACCTTTCATCAACTCACCAAATTACCATACCAGTCCTTGCTAATTAGTTGGGTTAGCAGCTAGCAACATATTTTCTTATTCATCAAAAGTCCAATGGCAACGTTGTATCTCAGTATAACCACTACCCATTCTGCAAAACTGGTGAACCTTAAGACAGATTAGTTCTAGGAGATTCTCTGTTCATTGTACTACCAACCAAGGTTTTAAATATCGGTTATCAGGGATTTATCGGACGGTCAAAATCCTTATCGGATAGCGGAAATCGGGGATATATCGGGGATAAGTAGTATTTATCGGAGTGATATATTGGATGATGTGTATATATAATATAACAATTAAAAAATGTAACCTAATCATGCTTAATGAAATATAAACATACCAAAATGTAAATCATCATGTTTAGAATCACTAACAAATTGTAAAAAACGAAAGTTGCATTATAGCCTTGAAAAAATATAATGTTAGTCAAAATGGACTGATAATCCCGATAATCCCGATAAAAAAGTCTTACTTATCGGCCGATAAGTGCCGATAACGCCGATAAATCGCCGATAAACCTACAAAAACGATAACCGATTAAAATCCAATTTATCCTAGCGGAGAGCTCCCAAATCCGATAACTTGGCCGATAATATCGATTATCGACCGATATTAAAAACAGTGCTACCAACCAAATGTCAACCTTCACTGAACATCCTAAAAGTTGGCACATGATGCACCTAAAAGCCCAACAGACAAGCAGTATGCAACAATTAACTAATTTTTCAGTTCAAAGAAATAATCAGTACTGTAAAAATTTAAAGACCCAATCCTAATAATTAAAACTCAAGGTATTTGTAAAGAAAAGGAGACTACCTTGGGTTCCTCTAGTTTGGTGACAACAGTCTGAAGCCTTCTATACTGATCTCTTGCTTCTGGATACTGAACCATGGATTTCACCCTTGCAAGTGCTTTCTCCAGCCGGGCCTCGGTCTGTTTTCTGCCTTCTTTCAAGAAATCATAGTCATCCTCTTTTGAAGGTTTATTCTGCACGCTAGGACCCTCAATCAACCCTTCTGACCGGAAACCACGCAACCCACTTCCTTTCCTCCTCCAGCGCAGTATAGCTTTCTCCACGACTAATACAGTCCAAACAATTTTTTTGTAATGTTTCCTCACTTGGTGACCTCGTACATGTGCCTTGTTGGGAATTGAAAATATTTAAGAGTTTAGAGGGGAGAAAAGAACTACACGTCCTTAAGGAGTAAAGAGCAATAAATAAATACATCTGACATGAACCTAAGAATGGAACAAGTATATAAATGGATAGGTCAAATAACAGAATCCTTAATTTCAATAGCCAAAGGAAATATATCAATTACTTGAAGCTTCTCAACCACTACCTTTAACTGGCCACAGCATTATCAAGATTTAATCTATGAAAGGCATAATATAGTCTTTTTAAACTAATCAGCTATAATAATATGTAAACTTGCCGAAGTCTGTCTAAAAGAGAAATGCTGCATAGTGCAGCACAAGTCTGTCTAAAAAAGAAATGCTGCAGTGTGTGTGAAATGTAGCACGCATGCACACACGCGCACGCACAGATGCACACACACACAGCTATCCCGTAAGCTAGATATATGACTCTGGAAACAGTCATATAGCTAATAATTCATAATGATAATCTTCAAAAGCTACAATGGAAGGATAAATAGGACTTTTGCCTTTAAATAGAATGTTTGAAAATTTTGTCTTATCATCGTATCACGCATTCATATATTAAGACAGTACATGGAAAGCTTTTACGCAAATTTGGCAGGCTAATATGAAGATATGTCAATAACAACACACCTGAATTTTAACTATCCTTTGCCGAATAATCAAGAACTCCTTTCTCCCTTTCCATCCACGGAATTTGTTCTGTATTCGAACTGCAGCAGAATGTACAGGCAAATCATGTTGCCCAGATTTAGCTGCCTTGACTGAAAGGAGCGAAAGGGCTCGCTCATCTGATAATCCACATTTGTCATCGCCATACTCAACGAGTTTCTTTCTGTGGAATGATTGCACTCTGAAAACTTGATGTATGCGAGCTGCAGCTTGAGTAGCATTTCGAACAGCACTCAGGGAGTCCTTCAATGAAAGATCCCCATCAAAAGGAGGCTGAATGGCAGCTTGTGCCGCACTGTCTCCCGTGCCTGTAACACCAGAAACTTCAGCCAAATCACCACCTTTTGAATCCTTCAGAGTGAGCGCAACCAGATGACTGGTCAGAGAACATTCTGCCAGAAAACCAGCAATTCCTTTGTGCCCACTGGAAGAGGCTAAATCAGCTGGTGTGCTTCCAGATGGAAATTCAGGAGATGGATCTGTTAATGCTCCAGTAGCAGCACCCAGCCCAATGAGGGTAGCAATCATTTGCTCTCTGAAAATATATAGACAATCAGGGAAATCCAATGGTAGATAGCAGTGAAGATAGACAAGATATAGATGAGAAATACCTGCCATAAAATGCAGCCCAATGAAGGGCAGTCCAGCCATGCACATCTCGAAAGTTGACACTAACACCAGCAGTTATTGTAGGTGTAATGGCCCAATCATACCCGAGGGCAGCTGCCAAATGAAGAACACCCTGCCCCTCATTGTCTAAGACACTGGGACCTTTACCATCTTCAGCTACTTTGTAAAGAAGCCATATATGCAGCTTATCTTTCAAACGCTTCTCAAGAAACCAGTCACGAGTACTATCAGAGGGAACTTCGCTTTCATGCCGTGGAATCAGCATATTGAACCATTCATCATCAACTTCTATCATCAGCGAATTTATTTCACTAATCAAATGTTGTTTTTCACTCATAAGTCTAGAGACAGGTTTAGGTTGCTCAGTGCTCAAAGATATTAACTTTTCAAGACGTTTGTAAAGATCCAATTCATTTACCATGCTGCCATAGAAATTTGAAGTATGCATTTGTCTAGTACTTTTCTCTCGATATTCAAACTCTCTCACTTCGCTACAAGCTAATCTATTGGAGCATGTAATGTAGAAAGGGACCCTTCCAGCTTTATGCGGTGGGGCATGGCAGGCACAGAGTTCCAGTGCACTACAATATCAGACAGGGAACTTTCAATTTCCGCCAAACATACATGACCAGTTACATTTTTCTACATACTCTTTATTTCTCAAGAATGTTCCAGAAATTAGAACCTGCCAAATGACCAGCTTCGAATCAAGACTGCACTGATTCTCTATGGCATAATTTGCAACAATATTATAACATCATCATTGTGGAGGCACCCTTTGGACTTTAATAGCCAAATTAAAAAACACAAGTTTAAAATTTAAAAGCTCACATACCTTCGTCTCCAGGCCAGTGTAGGCCCAGCTCGGAGAAAAGTCAACTATACTGAAAAGCTGCTCCTGGGAAATTGAGGGGCTAACCAAATATGAGTCTAGCTGCTCTTGGTTGGACATGCCAGGAACATCACCAACACTTTCACTCTCAATGGTGTTCCAATATGCACCAGAAGTTGATTGTAGTTGTGAGTCATCTACTTCACCAAGTTCACTGCTCATCCACCGGGAGAAACTATCATTCTTTTTCAAGCCTTCTCCTGGATGAGAGAGGTCCAAGGATAGCTGTTTAAGAAGGGATGCATAGGTGCGGTTTCCCTCAACAGATAACTCATTTTCCACATCCAGATTTGACATAACAGGAGAACCAACTTCAGCATTATCAAGCTGCAAATAAGAATACTTCTCCATGAGACTACTGGCCCTATATTGAAGTAGATTAGCTAAATATGCATTAATGCTCAAGGCATTCTCTAGAATAAATTGACAAATCAAAGTCCGAAAGAATATAGATACTACTCATGAAAGTATTTTAATCCTTGCAAGAACTTGTCCCTATAATTATGATTTACAATTATTAAAAATATATATATAATTACTGTGTACAAGACAACTATATTGTCAGATGCAGAAGCTAAAACAAATCTATAGACGTCCCAAGCTCCAAGTAGAAACCAAGTTTCTGGTATATTTTTTCAAGGTCATCAATGTTCTCTTACTTTGAAACCAGTTGCCTACTATGTCAATCTGCAAAAGCAGGCAGAAGTTAAAATATGAACACACGACAACACAAGATCTTCAACTTCTGTAAGCGAAAGATAAAGAGTAGACAGAACAAATATCTACGTGATACAGAAAAAACCAGCAGAGGCTCTGATACCATTTTAATGCAAATAGTGTAATTAGAACATGACCAATAATGTTCAAAAAAATATTATAAGCCAATGATAAGCAATCGTTGAACTTGCATTGACAGTGGCAGGCTCTGATGACCTTCATATAGGGTTGTTAACGGAGCGGATATGGTTCGGATATGGCACTTACCATATTCACATCCGCTTTCTATAAACAACGGATACGGATACAGATTATCTTCGGTAAGAAAAAACCTTAACCATATCCGCACTTATCGAAAACAGATACGGTTCGGATATTAGAGAATCGAATCGGATACGATCACAGATATGAAACGAATATTTGACAAATGGATATGAATCGGTTTTTGTACAAATGAGTTCAGCATATATCAACATCAAATGATAAAAATATAATAAAATAATCGCATATATATATAATATCATCAATTGTACCTAGAAATGCTATAAAGTATCTAAGCAGTTGATATAACCAACAAAGCAAAGCATTAAAAGAGCAATCTAGATATGTAATATCATCATTTCAAAACAACTTAATTCACATATAACAGAGAGACCTCCTTGGTGGGAGCGAGAGGGAAGGTCGAGCGAGAAGGGAGGAGTGGAAACAGAGAGGAGGAGGGTACCGGAGATGGAGGGCAGGAATCGGCATCTCGGTGGAGTGGATGTCGGAGTGGGGAATGACATCAAAGGTTGAGGGAGGGAGTGATAGCGGAGGTTGAAAAGTTGGGAATTGAGGAATAGAGTCGGTAAAATTAGGGTTTTTTTCCCAGATATTTGGGTTTTGGGTTGGTTATCGGTTACGGGTTTGGATATATAAATGGATCTCAATCTTTATGTTAATTGAATTGTGGATATCTGTATCCAAATCCGCAACCGAATCCTACACTCATGTCCGTATCCGAATCCGTATCTTAAAAAAATCCAAAACCGGATCCGTATCCGAAACCGTATCCACCCGGTTTTAAAAATAGCTTACTATATCCGCATCCATTCGGATACGGATGTGGATCGGTCCGGATAAAACCGAACCGTTTGGCACCCCTACCTTCATACCATTAACTGACAAAATAAAGGTTATCTTCCCAGCCTAGCTGTTCCTATTCTATTTAATTTTTTTACAGTTAAGCCTAAACTGTGATCCAATATCTGTTAACTGCACCTGTTCATCTTTTTTCTTTTCATGTTTTTGCAATAACTATATGAGTATCTGTTTGGAGTTTAGGATGAGACTAACCAAATTTATAAGGAATGAATTTTTTAGGCTGTCTCAATGGGATAATACTTACGGATAAATATGGAAGAGTGAAAATGGAAAAGAGAATATCCAGTGGGTGGAGGTGCAAAGTAGGCAGGAACTTGTGAGGGTGCTGTATTCCACTATTAAACTCTCTGATCAATGATTTTATGTTGAATCCATCATTCTCTGAAGAGGACAGGAATAGAACTGATTAAAGGCCCTGCATTTCCACTATTTTTTTTTCTTTTTCCAGGTTCCAATCAATATACCATGACTGAAAGGAAAGGTAAAGGACTAAAGAAGTCGCTGAAGGATAAGGCTGATGAAACTAAACGAAAAAGGTAAAACAAAAATGTTAAGAGTAGAAATAACCATAAGCTGGATTTATACTTTAAATTTTAAAGGGAAAATTACTTGGTATACACCATTAAGGGAGGATTTGAAAACTAATAGACAATTTAGGGGATGTGCATACTGTAGAATTTTGGTGGATTCAGATAACATTCATAATAAAATAATATCTTTAATCTGTTTATTTTTTTAAAAAATCTTCAGTCTATGTAAGAATTCATAAAAGTGCACCATTCAGAGACTAAAGTCAGACGATATCAGATTCTCTAATCCAAATTCCATACATCAGACCTGACTACAAGAAACCTAACCCAGATCTGTTGGAGGCAAAGAATTCCATATGTTGGAATTTCGTCTTGATTACCCTTCAGATTCTTGACCAAAATCTCCAAACAGACGTCTAAGCTGATGTATCCTGTTCGAATTTGACTGTTGAAAGGTTCGTTTTCTGTGGTTCTTTTTTCAAATTAACTCTGGCAGATTTAGGATTTCTACTTCCCCGTAGAATTCTGTAAATATCCGCGAGTTGAGGATCTCTTCCTATTGTAAATCTCTCCTATCTTCTCTCTGTTCTCTGTTTTTGAAATACTAAAAGATCAGCTGTTGTTGTTTGAGGATGTAGAACTTACTCTGAACCTCACTAAACTTGTGTCCATTTTTGTTCTGTGTTCTGCTCACGATGACTGCCTATCTGTAAAAAATGATATAAACTAAAGTACACTTCAATATAGGCATAGAAAGAATTAATAATTTAGTAACACATTATACATCCTTTTGCAAATTCAAAAGAAAATGCTCACATTTAATTATAGTGACATTACACAAGAAAATCACTCATGCTTCTAAATAAGCGATTCTACATAAACAAAAATCACTTTCAATTAATGTATAACAACATTTGGCCCATTAAATTGGCACCATAAATTTATAACCATTGCTCTGAACCCAAAAAAAATTTGCAGTGGCGCAGTCCCAGAATGGTCTACAAATTTTACTAGACTAATGGACACGAACATATTGTTCATCAAACAGACGAAAGAACTCATCAACAAATTATTTAGTTGTCAAAAAGAAGTCGTAACAATATATGATTTTTTTTATTTTCGGATTTATATTTACTTATTCAATTGTTAGCAGGTGGACGAAAGATGAACAAACTTCTTTTGGTTAGGTAAATTAATCATATATAAAGGAAGGCGCTAGCCTCCAAATCCTTTGAGGCAAGGATAGAGTTTAAATAAAGAGTAAGATGATATGATTTTCTATAGGAAATCATGTTCATTTCCGAGCAAAAAATAAGTCAAATAGCCAAAATAAATCACATTCTGATGTAGCATCAACACATCAAGGTTTAGGAGTTACGTCAGATAAACCCACTGGACCTTACATCTGCAGCTATTAACGATAGATCCTTTTTCTTCATTTTTTCACTTGATTCGCTCAATTTAAACACCAAGTCACCAAATATGGAGGCAACTAGAACTAATGCTATTTATTTATACCAAATAGTAATACTATTATTCATCAAATATTAATATCTATGTTTTACTCACTACTCAAGCCAAGAAATCTCACCAAACTAACAACACTATATAGTTACCGTATCCATCCTTTCACTCTCATCTTCGTAACCTCCAGGTTTGTTCACAAGTTCGTCAATAGATTGATAAATTTAGTACTTACAATACATAGACCAGAGCAGGATTTCTTATTTTCTGGTTGCTAAATAAGACTAAAATATAGAAACAGAGCAGGAATTCTTATTTTCTGGTTACTAAATAAGACCAAATCTAGTGAATATCTTAGTTTACATCTTAACCATTAAATTCGTGGAGAATTCTCTGCATATCCTTTAATATACAGTGAGAATATGGACTAGAAAGAAGTTTAATCAAACTAACTCAGTATCTACTAACAAAAAAGAAACTGTATTATTAAATAAGACCTCTACATAAATATGGCTTCTCACAAGCATAACTCTATCATCAGATTAAAATATAAGTGTGTGGGGAATAAGCCAACTGAGAGTCTGAGATATCAAAATGAGGGATAAAGGGAATAACTGAACATTACATGATGAATATATATGCATAAATGAATAGCGGAAGTCAAACTTCCCAACTTTCTACAAAAGAAAGAATACTTGCTAAGACTTCTTATCCCAAGGCTTTTTAATGCATGGTCATCAACACCCATAAAGCTTTGTGAAGCTATATTTTCTCGAAGTAGTATAGTCCTTACCTGCCAAACTGGGTTGCCTTGAGCACTTGCTATATTCCCTTGGTTCAAACCCACGTCATTTGGGAAATATTCTCCAAGCATCAAAGAGAATTGCTGTGGATTAACCAAATTGGCACTTTCTCCTGAAGCAACTGTTGGATCAAATAGTGCACTCTGAAACTCTGGTGTACAATGTTCTAGGACCTCTTCCCATGAAGTTAACCCTAACTTTGATTTAGAACCAGACCATGTGAGCTCAGGACCAGCTCCATCAAAAACTCTAGTCGCACCCTCTTGAGAAACTGAATACAAATTGGATGCAGGTACTGCAGCTCGTAGGCTTTGATGATCACCTGGGTACAAATAAAGAATCTCAATTCGGATAGCCATTAAATCAAGATAAAATGAACTTTAATAAACAAAAATGTACTCCTCACCTTGGTCATTTAGCAAGGAAACTGGAGCATAAGAGTTCAACACGTGGATATCTTTCATGGGTCCATCTCCATACTGTTGCATCTCAACGAGAGAGTTGTATCTGGAGTTTGCTTGATAATTATCTGCTGCATCGAATTTCGCTTTAGATACACTGGAAGGTTGCATAATTGAAATATGAATCAGTGAAACTATCGCTGTAACATGATTTGTAGCAGATTAGATGAAAGGATAGCAAGTTAGCAACCGCACCAGATTCTGAGTCTTCATATTCCGATGTCTGTGTGCTAATTGGGCTTCCTGCATCTGTAACCTGTGAAGGAAGCTGGCTTTGATTTGTAAAAGAACTCGAACCAGCAGGACTGTCCATTTGTGCAACTTGTGCATTTTCTTCAGCATCTCTTGTTCTAGTATAGCTTGCTTTACTATTCTGAAACAATTTTTTAAATTGTCAAAATGTGTAGAGATTTATACATGATTAAATAGTATATAGCACAGGGTCTTACAACAAAAAGCTGGAATCAAGATAAAAATAGAAGTTCTTAGCTGAAAATTATATTAAATGCATTAGCTGTAGTCAACTAGTGATTTCATGTTTCAACACACGCAACATTAAATTACTACCAAGCTTCCGGGGGAGTGGCTTATTGTCTTGGAAACATTTGCAACATACAATTGGTTAGTCAATGGTTGGTCTCCTTTTTTAGGATATTACAACCATATCACAATAGCTCTTATAATTGAATCAGATAAGCGGCCAAAATAATTGGTAAAAAAGATCTGCAACCACAATTGAAGCCAAATAAAATAACATAATTATTACTTGATGAAAGTAAATAAAGTGCATGTTTGACAAATGGTAAAACTGGCTTATAAGCCACAAAGCCACTTTGAGATGTTTGGCAAGTGGCTTATTTTGACTTATAATCCACCAAAAAATAAACTAGGGTACTCTAGCTTATTTTCTGGTCAATAATAAGCTATAAGGTTTCACCAAGTAAAACATATTTATAACCCTCATGATTTCAAAAAATCCAATGTCTCATTCAATGACTTGCCACCAACACCATGTCTTTTTCGGTGATTTTTACAACAATGATGGATTATTATCCATTCATTTACCTAACACTCTACTATTGAAATAATCCACAATTTACCAAACATTCCAGCTTATAACCCACCTAGATATACGATAGGACTCACTGCTGCAAATCGTACTAATTTGATATTCAAGGTATACAAAAATAAACTGGTAAACAGAAGTATCATCTGCAAGTTATTCCAACTTTTTGAGCAATTAAGGCATATATGGACATCTGTTTCAATCAAAATTACTTTATTTACAAATAAGGCCTCAGGATTCTAGATCTGAATCACTTACATATATTTATTTCATCAACAAATTATGTAAAAAAGCATTAGTACAAAAAAGCATCAGTTTTCCGAACAAATAACAGTTAACTGAATATTGCATCCTTCTACTATGGCAGTGCAAGTGAAGCTGTAATTCACAAGATGTGAATAATGTGTTAACAAGCCAATTCTCCACTGTGCAAATGCACGATATATGAAACCATAGATCCTTAAGGCACACACAAAGGTAGAAGAAAGTGGAGGAAGGAATGAAATCAAGTAAGCCATTATAAATTATGTATGAGTATACACATAGAATGAATGAAGAAAATAGTTAAAATGCCTAGTTTCTACTAATCAGTCTTGCACTCTTATGTAAAATGAAATAGTAGAAGAAGCAATAACGAGTAAAAGAAGAAAAAAATGATAAATCAGTACAAGTAGCTAATAATCTCAAAATTAAAAAAATAAGCAAGTCAAGGTAAGTGAATGGCTACAACCTTAACCTCTCGATAGTGAACAAGAACAATATGCATGAAGTCCCTGCATTAACAGAAGAATCAACACAAAACAATAAAATATCAGAGTCAAATTTTGACCATGCGAAAAAGTTAACTTGTTTCCAATCTTTTTAATTTGCCACCAATATATAATGTCAAAGTCAAAATTGTGGGAATACATCTCCAACTAATACTATGAACTTGTTTCAATCTTTTTAGTTTTCCACCAGAATAAATTGCAAGATCAAAAAGTGAAAAAGTTAACTTCCCTTATTGCTACTTGTGCTACTACTGTCTTCTTCATAGTAACATCATTGTCAACCTGATCGGCAGGAAGGTAAACAATGTTTTCCATGCAAGAGTCGAAGGAGAGCAAGCCATTTACATGGAGAGCTAGCCATTTACATGTTGCAAGAGTTTGACTACACACACACACACACACACACACACGCACACACATACATACATACATACATCTATATACATATACATACATATGTGTATATATACATACACACATACACATATATATACATACGTGCATATGTACATACACAAACATATATACACACGTGTATATATACATATACATACATGTATACATATACATATATATACATACATTATATATAGACATATATATACATACGTATGTATACACAAACATATATACATACATATGGAATAGTCTAATTCATGAAGCAAGAGACGCTTCTTTAGATTGAATCTAAGGTGTCACCTTATGAAAAATTTTCCATATATATATATATATATATATATATATATATAGAGCAAAATGGGTCTATGCTTGGCTACCAAGCACAAAAAATTGCTGCTTGTAGTGATGGCATAATTCCCTCACTCATCAAATGTGCCATATCCCATGTTACTCTTCAATTCATATGAATGCTGGGTGCCCCCATCTTGAATGAGTGGTGGGAATGTGCCACCTCACTTTACCAGCACAAAATTGTGCTTCCGGTACCAAGCATACCATATTTCTTCATATGTGAGAAAAATGGCGCTATGCTTGGTACCAAGCCCACAAAAAAATTGTGCTTGGTAGTGAGCCGTGCCATAATTCCCGCACTCATCAAATGGTTTTCATATCCCCATGTACTCTTCAATTCATAAGAGAATGTGGTCCCCCCACTGACATGCAATGATCGAGGGAGAATGCTCGCCACCTCACTACCCAAGCACAAAAATTTGGTGCCTGGGCTACCAAGCATACCACTATTTCTCTCTCTCTCTCTCTCCTCTCTCTCTCTCTCTCTATATATATATATATATATATATATAGATATATATATATACATATGTATATATATATATATACATATGTATATATATATATATATATATACATATGTATATATACAATCACGAGCAGATCTAAGGGGAGAATCAATCAGCGCATGCACTGTGTGTGTGTTTCACAAGTGGATCTAAGGTGAGAATCAATTAGCGCATGCACTTACACTCTGTGAATCAAGCATAAGATGCTTTCAATCAGCACAAATATAAAAGTTCACTATTTTGAATCACTACATATTAAAGCTCTCCATAAAACAGAAGCCTGCATCACTAAATTCAAATTAAGGATGATCATGAGAAGGGGGTTGAACAATAGAATAAAAAGTAAGTGGTCATCAATGTTAGTTATCAGTATCAAAATTTTGACAAAGATGCAAGATATCATAAACTAACTGATACAGTTAATGCTAAAATATATTTCAACATCTCACTAGTGCTTGCATTTGCACCACAAATAGAATGCAATGGCCATAATAAACGAACTATTATAGTTAAAACAAATTAAATAAATATATGTCAACTTCTGCAGAGCATGTGCACCCACAAACACACATGCACAGTGGCAACAATAAATGACGACACTCAAGAGGGATGTACAATTATAAAGGATATATATCATGCTACCTAACAGCGTAATGAAACATAAGTGTATGTTCATGCAGAAATAGAGACGGTAAGACATTAACCGAAAAATAGATTGCTTTCATACTCTTCCAACATCCAGTAGCTACGCCTCTGGAAGTTTTCGTTCTCTTCTCCATGAGCATAATAACAATGAAGCACGTCGATACTTCCAGACTGAAAGTTTCAAGGAAATTGAGCTTCAGCAATTTAACAGTTCTTAAAATTCATCATCATGATAAGCAAATAAACTCAGAGATGTTAAGCTTCAAGACAGATGCATACAAGGTATAATTTATGCTTGCATTGTTTCATTGTAAAACAAAAAACCAAAAGGAATTACTTGCATAGATTGAAGCACTAGAGCTTCATCAAATTGGAAGCAACTATTTCAATTGTGTTCTAGTGCACTATAGGCTATAGCTAACAAGAAGACAACGATATTTCCTTGTTAGGAGCCTCACTGATTATCCGCTGGAACCTCAACTAGATGCACAGCCTTCCACATGCATCTCTACCAAAATATTAATAAGGATTAAACAAAATCATTTGAACCATATACCTAGAGATCACATTAAGGCATATCCAAAGCTAAGATCCAAAATGTTAAACAAGTAACGGAGTTGTCACGCACAAAAGAAAATGTTATTTATGAACCGAAGGACCAGATAAAGGTAGAAAGAGGCTAATGCACATAACAAAATATGACAATTGGAGAGCTAGAGCAAATTCTGATTGTACACTATGGTACACAGCATGAAGGAGATTAGCTTAAATTATATGTCCTGACCAGAAACAATAATGCATTTAACTCGACTAAGTAAATATGCATAAATTATATCTCATGGCTAGAAACAATAATGCACAAATTTTATATTTGAATTAGTATCTTTTGGTCATCACAACACCAAGTCTTCCTTTAATTTTTAGGTCCATGTTCTTTGGCGATCCAGATTGGCAATGCACAAAGAACCCAATCTGAGCTGACACAAAATTTGAAGGGGGTGGTACAGATCAGGTAGAACGGGTTCCACTCAACTGTGATATATATTCAAGATGGAAGAATTATTATTAAATCTACTTGCAAAAGAATATTAATAGCTAGGCATGACAATCCAAACTACCAACCTGAAGCCTCCTTTGCCCATCTGCACATGCACAAGTGCAAAGAGGAGCTGTAATCTGATTTAAAATTGTAACAGGTCCAATCACAAGGAATATACTAATTGCAGTTGTATTATTGGATGAATCTCAATCACAATGCTTTAAGTACTAGTTGTGTAGGTCTGATCCCCATCAGGCTCAAGCTGGTTAAATGTTTTACACATGTCCCCCACCCCCCCAAAAAAATTTTAAACTTTTTTTCCACATTAGATATTGAACAAAAACCTTGAAGTGCACAACATCTGATATGTGGATCAAAGTTTATGACTATATTGGGTTGAATCCAGACATGTTTTAGGTCAGGAAAATTTCTGGCGAGAATTCAAAGATGTTAAAAATACAATATCGACATCTTAGTGGAGATGATGCAGGAGTACGTGAGGATAGAAACTACCGAAACTTATAGATGTGCGTGTAAAATTAGACAACAGACGCATGTTATCATTTACTTTAAATAGATATGCATATGCAGCCTTCATATTGTTTGTTGTAGCTGCACACAAGCTTACATAACATAAGACCGCTAGGGTCTCATCTCTCCAAGTTTAGATACAAGTTTAAATATAATGTCCACATGAGAATTTGTTATAACCAAGTGAGATTTAAGGCAACAATATAACAACAACAAATTAAAAGGTCCATTAAATAGCAATGCACCAAAATATGCATTAAATGTTCTCCACTTACTTTTAACCTTTCATGAGCTTCTTTTACAGTCTTCCCATCTTTTTTCTTCCTCCAATTATGACCATCCTTCCGGAAGTATCTCAGAACCTTCCGATCAAAGAGAAAAAGTGAACCACCTATGGGGGAAAAGGATGCAAATAAGAACCAGATTGCAACTGGAAATCCAACAGAATTAAGTTACAAAAGATTTTCCATATAAGAAATGACTTTAAAGGATGAAAATAAATCCTGGTGAAGAATAATCACATTTCTCTTGTATTACTGACAATACACTAGCTATACCCTAAAGGAGAACCATTAAGTTCATCAGATATCAATTTATTTAATCTCCTATTGATAGTGAAAAGATTCTTAACAGTTTGTAAAAATTCATGGTCGAAATGAAAAGCTTGTGATTTACTTAATCTCCTATTTCATAGTGAAAATTTTTTGAAGTCTGTAAAAAGCATAGTTAAACTGAGGAGCAATCTACTAAGAATATTTGCATCTTACTATATCATCAGGATATCCTGTTTGCAGTTTGCAAAATCACAAGAGAAATACATACTCGAAAAACATGCACTAATTAATCTAGATGCCATTGACCTGGGGTTTGAATGACTACAAAAAGAAATAGTTGAGCATATTGGAAAAGATGTTCTCAAGCTCATAAATTAAAATGTTAGCACAACAGCACAAGTAATAAAAGAGAGAGGACAGTGAAGTAGAATGACATTTTTTGTCGAACTATGTTTTAAAAAAATGATATATTTGCTAAAAGAAACATCCTAGACGAAAAATAAGGAGGAAAGAAATTGACATATGGGCCCTTCATATGACTGCAGAAACATAGTTGTAACTAGAGCTACGAGGTCCAGTTAATTGCAAATCTCCCTATTTAAAATTATAAAATAAGATGTACAGTTTGTAGCTGATCACTTATAGAGGTCGAAATCTACAAAACAAACTTGCTGTGTGGATACATGGTGGACTCTGTTTTAAGCGTGCATAAAGTACCTTCAGAGATTTTTGTTAGTTTTAAATAAAGCTTAGCAATATTTTTGATAGGACTGGAAGAATCCTAGTTAAGGTAGAATTATTTGGTTTTATTTGGAGACTTATAGATTGGTTTCTATCATATCAGTTTAATTAGGATTACAAATCCCAGTTTTATTTCAATTTGGATTCTTTGCTATATAAATATGCATTGTACCACTTTCTCCTTAGTTGATTAGTGGCAGATCTGATAAGTCTGTGAAGGTTTTACATGCATCGACCTGTATGATCCGCACATAGATTCAAAAACCCTAACTTTCTTCTTCTCAGCAATTGCTACCTCCAATTGCCACTTTTCTATATCCAAAAGCTCTACCCAAATTCCTACTGTCAACCTTCAAGCTTTCATACCAAACCCTAGCCATCTTGTTCAGCCCAAACCCTGACTTTAATAACATCAGAGACCTATGGTTGCCAGTTTCCCAGTAATGAGCTTTCAATAAACAATCAGAATTTAAACTTAAAGCTTATTGTCTGCATTAGTAAAGAACCATATAACCTCGAAAGCCATAGCTGAGCATAATCACAAGAGGTTTGCATCCTTCTTGAAACGTATTTACTGTGGATTCTTGGTTATATCCTGTGAAAGTTGTAACAAATAAAATCATGTGCTAAAACTTCAACACATTTAAGCTTACGTCTTTCCTGGCTTTCACCCTTCCAATAAACAGGCCAATAGAGAAGCTTCTCCATTCTTGTTAGCAGACTCTCTCAGATGATCAAACAGTGCCTCGTAATTAACTGGTGGAACTACTAAAATGCTCATCGCAAAAATACATTTTGATGTTTGATCACAACTTTGATGGCCACCAGCCAAATGAATGAATAGAAACTATAACTCAGCCAAGGCTATTGATAAGGTTGCTTACAATCTCTATTTATTTAATATCCAGTTAGATGTTTCTTCATCAATAGACAAAATAAAATAGGGGCTTTAGGATATAGGTACATCGCAATATTATTTTGAAATTAGTCCCTAATGAGTCCATATTCAAAAATTAGATGCCCATAATGTGGGGTCCACTAGTTAAGAGAGCCTCTGTTATGAAAGCTCTTACAACTCAACCAAAATAAGAATCAACTACAAATCTGAAGTTGCTCTATCACACTGAATTTGTACAACATTTCTCTCTCAGCTTGTCACTTCTCCACTCTCTTTCTCATCCCACAAAAATGAATATAGAAGGGAGAAAGAACAAAACAGACAACGTCATCCATGACTAGCATCAAAGCTTCCACGATTTGCAATCTTTATTTCCTTCTTGGGTTTATTTTTGAGTAAAATTTTGAGAGTAAGAAAGACCAAGAGATGGATGGAGAAAACATCAATGTTGTAGAAAGTGGCCTAGGCGGACGTCGTCCGACGTCCGCCTAGGCATATGCGGAGACAAAAACGCCTAGTTTTGGCACATGCGGCCATGCTAGGCGGCCAGAATGCCTAGGTGGTGGTGGAGGTGGCGGGGCCTAGCTTTTGAAAAAAAATAAAAAAATAAAAAAATAAAAACAGCCCTGCCCATTCAATTCGTTATCTGCATTGTGAAAAAAAATTTAAAAAATCTTATCCACAAACCCAAACCCGACCCACTAACATACTAAAACCCAATCATGCCCTACCTCTCTTCAGCTCTTTCCTAATTTTTGTCCCAAAAACCCAAAATCAAGATAAAGAGCTGCTATTCATGTCATCGCATCTTCTTCATCATCGCGTCTTTTTCGCCACGCCTTCGCCGCCTCAGGCGACGTCGTGCATCCTAGCATCAACCTTGCCATCGCCACCTTATTCTCGAGATCACTTCGCTGTCGCCGCCTCATCCTCGAGATCACTCCGTTGCCGCCACCGCCACCTCAGCCTCGTCACCTCCTCTTCTTTGCCTCCTCCTCAAAACCAATGCGCCTCTTCTAGATCATTGTGCCTCTTCGAAGAACCTCCTCGGCTCCTCTCCACCACCTCATTCCATTCGCTACCAGCCACCTATTCTTAGTCTGCAGGTAAAATATTCATCTTTGAAAACTTGAAATGCTCCTGTATGGCACTTAAATACCTCATAGTTTCACACACTTCGCACTCATATAGCTTACTACTTTTATTTATACCTCATCGTCTCATATCTAAATCGTGGACTAAAGAAAATATGGGGATCATTATAACTTTCATTAAAGTGAGAATAACTTTCATTTATGGGACATGAATCATGATATCATAGCATTCATTAGGATCATGTGCACTGTCCAGATATTTTAATTTTTTATGATGAATGATTTGATCTATGAATGGTTTGTTTGCTTGTGATGTGAAGTAGAATGTCGGATATTCCTCCTCTTAAGGAATCAATGGGCTCCACCACTATCCCCATGAAAGCGTCCATTAAAGATAAATGAAACTTGGGAGACATTGATTGGGAGTTTGGGTTCATTCCCGATCCAAAAGGTTTATGATTTGTGCAATTTAGACTGTGCTCGCACAAGATGAGGGGCAAGGTCTTTAGATTGAAGCAACATCTTGCCAAGAAACAGTTGCATAAAGTGTAAACAGATTACGTCTGATGATAAAAAGAGTAATCAAGAATCCATGGATGCTAATTCCAAGAGGAAGAAATTAAATGAGATGCATATCATGGAGTTGCAAGATGAAGCACAATTCGACAAGCCAGACCTCACGGTGATTGAAGAAGAAATTGTCTCTCCTACCCCAACGATGGGGAGATCTTCAAAGAGGTCCAGAGAAACGATTGTTGGTCTGATGGATGCTTATATCACTAGTGATCCCAAGTTAGCAAAGAGACTAAAAGGAGAAGAGAGATTAGGTCCAAGGCACGTCAATAGATGGGCATATGAGCATGGCATTTCTTTTCATGTCATCTCCACCAACACCTTTACAATGATGTGCAGTGCTATTGGAGATTATAAACGTACCTACTGACCACCTAGCATGGATATACTAAGGGAGCCGTTATTAAGGGGTGCTGTGAATGAGACTATGATAGATGTTTGGTCAAATAGGAAGATGCGTTCGATCATGAACCTATGCATCCACAACATGTTTGGCACGACTTTCTACCAGTCAATTAAGTGCTTCGAGGACTCGTATATAGGGGAGTACATTTCAAGGGGGTAAATGCATACATTGAGACTGGGGCAAAGGTCATTTAGGTTGTCTCGGACAATGCATCTGCGAGTAGGGCGGCGAAGTAGAAATTGAAAGAGTAGAGGCCGAGAATCTTTTGCACCAGTTGTGCAGCTCATACTATTGACCTGATGTGAGGGTATTGGGAAATTTATTGAGAAAGCAAAGGCCCTTAAAGTCTTCATCTACAGCCACCACATATTCTTGAATATAATGTGTCGCATGTGTGAGATAAGGGACATTGTTAGACATGTAGTCACTCCCGTCGCCACTGCGTTCTTGACCTTGTTGAGTGTTTATGAGAAGAAGATGAAGTTAAGGCTCATGTTTGCTAATGAAGAATTGAGGAAAAGCAAATAATCCAAGACCCCTAGGGGTAGAAAAGTGGAGACTACTATGCTTTCTGAGAGTTGATGGCAATCTGTGAACAATTAATTGAAGGTCTATTCTTCAACTTTTTCGCATGTTGAGGGTGGCCGATAGTAACTAATGGGATTTATTGTGGGGATGCTTGAAGACACGAAGGAAATTATCATTGCTTTGAAGAAAAAGGAGACCCAATACAAGCCGGTGATTAAAATTATCCAAACCAAGTCCAAGAATCAATTGTATACACCCTTGTATATGACAGCTAATGTCCTTAGCCCTAACTACTTCTGAGATGATGTGACTAAGAACTCTAGAGAGGGCAATAAGAGGTTTCTAGATGTGGAGTTGTTCTATCCCGACAAGGAACACAAAGCTGAGTCAACTGTAGGGTTCATGCCTTCATGGAGAAGTACAGAGAAGGAATAGGCTCAATTGGTAGAAGTTCAGCGGTGAAAGCTAGGCAGAAAATAGACTCCAACCTAAGTACACTGAATTTAAAAATTGAATCTATCAGTCATCAGTTATTTGTTGCAATATCGAGTTTAACTGAAACTATATATTTTGCAGCTAGTTGATTGTATATGAATGGCGATGATTGTCCTTTTACGCAAAACTTGGCGATGAAGGTTCTTAACCTCATTGGCAGTTCTTCTAGATGGAAAAGGAACTAGAGCACATTTGAGGGGGTAAATTACATGAATATCTAAAATTAATAAGATGAAGTCAATAGTTATTCATGTATGAACTCGACTCACTAATTTGTTCTTTTCTTCTTTGAAGATTCACACGAAGAAGAGAAACTAATTGGAGCTGAAGAGGTTAGAGGATCTTGTTTTTGTGAAGTTCAATGCTAGGCTCAAGCAAAAGAAGAGAAGAGAAGACAAAGATGTGTGAGCAACAAATGACCGTACTACGTGTATGGACCTAGGAGTTCCCTCTGAAACGAGGATGAGACTCATCCAGGTTCGAAAGTTACTTGGACAATAGTAGAGGATGTATCCAGAGCGGCTAAGGTTGCGGCGAACCAGAAGGAATGAGAATAGCAGAAGTTGTAGAATCTTTGATTATTACTGGTAAAGAAGAGCCTCTTGCATCTGACGAAGATGTCACAAACAAGGATGAGGACTATGTGGACATGAACTCGGATGATAAGGATCACGGGGTGGAGGAATTCCATAATGATGATGATTAGATTATATGATTATGCTCCATGTTAGACATTTAGACAATTCGTGGTTTTTTCTTCTTTGGCATTAGACTTTAGAATTTTGTGATATTATTGATCGTTTGCAGTGATGACATGACATATTATGTTGGACATGACGATGTTTCTTAATATTTAGTTACTATTTTTGCTATTTAGTATTTATGCATGGTCGATTGTGGATCTAAGATTGCTATTTATGTGTTTTTTGCAATTTTATATGAACTTAATCCATGTTTTTGTCAATTATCAAAATTAAATAGTTATAATAATTAAATAATTTTTAAAAATAGCCAAGGCGCCTCCTAGGCGTTAGCTCAAACGAATAGTCCGCCTAGCGCCTTCTATAATATTGAAAAACATAAAGAAAACAAATCCAATGTTGGCCTCCCTTCCTAAACAAACACACGGACAGGAAGGGTGTGATATATATACATATGTGTGTGTGTAGAGAGAGAGAGAGAGAGAGGAATATTATGGTTGAGAAAGAGGTGGCTGCAGCGGTTTATAATATTGAAGGGATCACATTAGTGATTGGAAGGGCATAAAGAACGAATTTTAAAAATTATACGATAACATTCGCTATAGAAATCATTAGGCCACATGTGCCACCTTTTAACTATGGGGATTCTGAACTCAGGCAATACACAAATATGGATTGTAAGAATGAATAAGAATGTTTGTTAGGAAATTTATCTCATATATATACATATAATATATATATATATATTAGTACTATAATTATATAATATATACTATTACATACTAATACTATACATACCATACAATACATATACATAGTATATAACTACATACATACATACGATACATACATAGATATATACATACGTACGTACGTACATATATAATATATATATATATATATATATATCATACATATGTCGGCAACATACATATTATGTATATACGATATATATACATATATATATTATATATATAATATATATATATATATACTATATATATATATAATATTTATATATAATATAGTATATATATGTATAAACATGTATATACGTATACAAGTATATATACTACATGTTATACAGTATATATACGCGCTCAGCGCGTGTATATGGGTGTGGAGAGAGGAATACTTTGGTTGAGAAAGATAGTGGCTGCAGCAGTTTATAATATCGAAGGGATCAGATTTAGTGATTGGGAAGGACATAAAGAACAAATTTCAAAAATTATATGATAACATTCGCTCCAGATATCATTAGGCCACATTTTCCACCTTTTAACTATGGGGATTCTTAACTGTCAGGCCAATAAACAAATATGGATTTGTAAGAATAATATAGAAATAAGATGTTTGTTTGGAAACATTCATCTAAAAAACCAACAATATAACTCCCAAGGATACCATACATTTTGCACAGTTCATCTCCAGATTCTCCATCAAATCAGGTAGCCTCTCAGCCTCAGGACCTTTATGCATGTGTTTTCTTTAAGTTCTTAAATACCAACAGGTTGCAGAACTTGAATAGAAATTTTCAACTGTCACTAGGTCTTTTTTCAAGAAAATAAAGAAAAAGAGAAGGAAACCTTGCAGTCATACGCATTCCAAACATTGCAGGCATGGACAGGTGCCTGGAGTTTTAGTATTCACCCCTATACCTATAGGCTCTCAATCAGCATCTATACTCATCATCTAGACCAGATATAATCCTCAAAAAATCTTTAATTGCATGCCATTCAAATTGTCATGACGCATAACATGTCACAAATCTGTAATAAAACTTTGTATGCATCACTAGTAAAAGTAATCTAGTGTATGTAATAAGTTCCACCAAGATGCTGTCAGACACAACCTTTGCTGATCCCATCTACTACATATAAACACAATGGAGATATGATGGCAAGTCTCAGGTGCTAATTTTTTGCAACTAAAGGTAGTTCAAAACATAATCAATATCAAATAAGCATGTAAATCATTCAAGTAATATACGTAAACTGTTCAATAAGTATGCAAACATGCAATCTAAAGATGTATGTGAATCATTCAGATAATATTATGAACCATAACTAACCTGTATAGACTACTTTAGTGGATCCATTATGTAATTTGCAGAATGTAAAGCAGTAAAGTAACACAGAATGAGAATAGTTCATAGCCTATACTGCAAACAAAGGTTAAAACTTTACAAAATTACAAAATGAAAACCACTACATAATCAGGAGAATAGATCATTGCTTGTACAATGTTCATGTCAAATTACCGCCAAGAACTCATAGGTTCTCCCGTAAGGTTAAGGCTGCAAACATATACTATATAAGAAATTCAAATTGGAATCCATCACGTACCTTTAGTAGACTACTATCTCACTATCGCTTAAAGCTATAGAACAATAAGAAAGAAGAGTAACTATGTAGTGTGAAGCTAATAGGAAACAGGAACAAACTTAAGGGTGTAGCATGGGCATCTACAGAGCATAAACAAACATCGACATGACCTACAATCCTCTGAATAATAAATGTAACATAAACATCAGTAAAGAAACACTGAGACTGAGAAAAACCAGAGTCGTACTACAAGGCCTGTTTGGTGGTTCTGGAGCAATACGAAACTTCCGGTAGTTTCGAAGAATTTCACAAATTTCTGCAGGACGTAACCATCGATGTTGTGCTTCGTGAAGTATCTGCTGAATATCTATGCATATGTGAAATGACTTAGTTAGATAACTTGACTAAAAAACACAAGTAACACACGCAAAAATTAAAATGAAAACTAAATACAAAGATAAATATTGACAACCTTCTTAGATGCATATTTATCCACTGATATCAGATAAAAAGTAAAAGCATAAAAACAAAAACAAAAGGCAAGCTAAATCCCTAATAACCAACAATCTTAATGTGCACGCATGTGAGCAAAAAAATTTCAGCAAGACACATTTGTCAAGAGTAAATTTTACTATCCATAAAAGTTATTCGAAGTTCCACTGTAGATATCCACTGTTTCTATCTACAGAACTGACAACCTTCTTAGGTGCGTACTTTATCCACTCATATACAAATAAAAAGTATCCATGATAACCAACAATCTTAATGTGCACGCATGTGAGCAAAAACTATACCACAAAGACATATTTGTCAACAGTAAATTTTACTATCCATTAAAGTTATTCGGAGTTCCACTGTAGATATCCACTGTTTCTATCCACAGCGCAATTCCCAATAATTAAATTTTCTCTCCCATTCTCAACCTCGCATTCCTCTCACTGACAGTAACCTCACCCTGCTCAAACCCCAGGCATCCTCATCTTTAGTTTCAATTATAAAACAAATTCAAGATGATAATCAATCCCCAACACTCCAAAATACAATCGCGGAGAGCATCAGCATGCAAGTTCGAAATATTGACTCCCTGGTGAGGCTGGTGTTGATATTCTTCTCGAAGCAAACATGCTTCAGTCATATCTGCAACACAGGGCAAGTAAAGCTGGACCATGAGGAGGCGGGTGGAGCAATTGAAGGGGAGGCCAGGCAGGCTGTGGTTGTAGAGGAGGTAGTGGGCAGAGTCCTTGGTGGCGAGAGATGGAGATAGAAATTAGAGAGGCAGGAGGTGGAAAGTGGGTTTTAGCTGACCATAGGAGTGGGCAGAGAGGTTAGGAGAAATGGAGACGGAATTAAAATTTGAAATGGAGGGACCAGAGAATGTAAAGGGGGAGGGGTCTATTTCTATGTTAAAGAGAGGAGGAAGGGGACCCTGTTTCTCTCTTTCTTTTCTATTTTTGGATTTTGTTTTTGGTCAATGAGCTTCTGAGTTTGAGTGGGAAATGTGAGATTATTGAGTTATGAATATGCTCTCACCACCACCACCTGCAACACAGGGCAAGTAAAGCTGGACCATGAGGAGGCGGGTGGAGCAATTGAAAGGGAGGCCAGGCAGGCTGTGGTTGTAGAGGAGGTAGTGGGCAGAGTCCTTGGTGGCGAGAGATGGAGATAGAAATTAGAGAGGCAGGAGGTGGAAAGTGGGTTTTAGCTGACCATAGGAGTGGGCAGAGAGGTTAGGAGAAATGGAGACGGAATTAAAATTTGAAATGGAGGGACCAGAGAATGTAAAGGGGGAGGGGTCTATTTCTATGTTAAAGAGAGGAGGAAGGGGACCCTGTTTCTCTCTTTCTTTTCTATTTTTGGATTTTGTTTTTGGTCAATGAGCTTCTGAGTTTGAGTGGGAAATGTGAGATTATTGAGTTATGAATATGCTCTCACCACCACCACCACTTTGAAGTTTGAACGATTATCAAATTAACCCCCGTATCCCTCAATACATGAGAAACCCCCCACCCCACCCCCACCCCCCAAAAAAGTTTTGGGGTTATCAGGGAAGGGGAAACGCCCTTCAACTTCAAGATTTTTTTTCATAAAACCCCATGTCGGCATTATCCAAAATTATTCTACATCTTTGTGGACAAAAAAGCCCCAGCATAAATTGTACCCCTCCACATGATAAATATTTTTAAAAAGGTTAGTTAAATGTAAAACCTGAATAATTATCTGTAAACTTTTCAAAACAGCCCAAATCCAACCCTTTCCCTTTTTATGTGAGACACGATAAGCCCTAGAATTTGATTCTGTTGAAATCCGAAGTCGACATTGGTTGTGGGTGGTCACCGGAGCCTCACCGACGTAGAGGGCCTTGACCAAGGCTGTTTCAGGTGGATAATTTGTTTGGGAGATCCTACCCGAGTGCTAATGAGAAAAAATAAGAGAAAAATATGGTTATTGGGGTTTAATTTAGGAAAATGATATCATTATGGTTCCTTTTTTTTGGAGAGGGGCGGGTTTCTGATATTTTGGAAGGTATGGGGGTTATCTGATAATCACCCCAAATTGAGGGAGGTTTTCTGATACTCTGAAAGTTATGGAGGGTTATAATCGCCCAAAGTTGAGGAGGTTTTCTAAAATTAACCATAAAGCTGAGGGTTAATTGCACATTGATCTCCTCTGAAGTAGCACCAAATTAATTATTAGTCGTCGTGCACCCTTCTTTTTTCTTTAAATTTCTAAATCAAATATTTAAATTATAATTGTTTTTGACTCCTTTCACAGTAATGTTGCGGCATCGTCCAAGTCAATTTTACTTAATGGATCTAAACAAATATAATTCTCACCCAGATATTGTTGGAAGAGTATCCATACTTCCTAATTAACGTGAATTGTTCCAGATGAGGACACATGCAGAAATAAATCAGGTATTATTCAATTGGATTCCCGCATTGGAGTGCAACATGATTCCGACACTTAGTTTTCTGCATTTAATAGTTTTCTTAGAAGATAATATGTGCATTAACTCAAATGTTTAATGATATCTAACATGTTATTATGCTGAATTCTCCCAAATAATTAATTTTGTAAAAATATGAGTATATAATCAAATTCGACCAACTTCACATTCCCAGCGAGCACAGTACTATGTGAGAGTGGGTCGCAATAAAATCCAGGTTCACTCGAATTTTACTTATGTGCACTTCTTCCATTTCCTTTTCCTAGCAACAAAATTTACTTAAATGATTGTTCCCTTTCATTTTCTTTAAATCATGCAAGAGTATACTTTTTATTAGAGATAATGGAGGTACATTTAGCTTCAACTTGTCCTGGGAAGATTCTTAAAAGGAACATAGAGTTTACTCATGAAATGGAACTTACCATATGATGATGCATTACGGAGAAACCCCACAGTAGGAAGAGGATAACCAATTCTTGGTGGAATATGTCAGAGCTTATTATGGCCTATATAACTCCCTTTCATCCCCCCATCCCTCTAGTTACATTATATTTTAGATTTATAATAAATTAAGGGGTTTTGTTCATTATGGCCTGTAATAGTTTCTTCTGGTTTTTCTTTTCATGGGTATGTGCATCCCTCCCTCCCTCACACTTCCAGCCAATTTTTGATAGATTTATTACTGACAATGACTAAATTGTTCATTACACCCTCCAGATAGTTTTCGTTTGCCCTTCTTCTACATGGGTTGCATCCATCTCTCCCTCAGCCAATTGTAGGCCCTACATCAAAATTTGAACCTTCTTATTGGGAACAATAGCTAAATATGGGCAACACGAAAGCAAAGAGGTTCTAAGTCGATACATTGTCAGTAAATTTCAACATGTGATATGATTGTTGAGGCCGGTAAGGAGGAGTCCCTCTGGTTGCCTTTGGTTCTAGCATACTTGAGGCCATTAGGATTAAGGTTCGGATTAGGGATGAAAGAGAAGGTTAAAAAAGAGAATGGGATTAAGGCTCCGGTAGTGGTCAGGTAGGCCAAAAAATTGAGGATGGGGAAGCATTCAAGGAAAGATGGGTTGTACAAGGACTAGTGGTGCGGCCAACCCTTCTTGAGCGTGTGTACTCAATACGACTCTACAAGCACTGGACTCGCGTGAACGTGAAGCGGGTCTGAGCATTGGACCTAGGCTCCTAGCCCAGCTAAGAGTCTTAGATGGGTACATATTAAGTGCAGTCCTTCATGTCCAAGCTATCTTTGATTGTGTGCATTACTCAAAACACCGATAGACACGAGTCCAGGCACAGGTCAATCTAAATATTATTGGGATTGGGAGTTAAAGAATCCTAGTCCTCTAAGAACATGGTAAGGGTCCAATTAATAAATCTCTTGGGCTTGTTAAATTTCATCCAAATGATAAAATAGCTTCTCTACTGCAATATAGAAAAGTGTATTCAAGACGCAACAAATAAGTCCATTTTTGAAGCAATTGCACAACGATCCAAAGGGATCAATCGAAGAAAATCAGTTCGTCAACAACTGTGTTGAGGTTATTAATATGTTAGTATAATCCCACATAGGATAGGATAAGAAAGGCTGAAAGAGTGATGGTTTTAAAATAGAAGTTAGGGCCAATGCCTAGTACCTAAAGCTTTTTGATTAAAACTGGTTCCTAGCCTCTATTTAAAGCTTTTTAAATCCTAGATAGAGCCTGATTACTCTCCAACAAATGGTATCAAAGGTAAGGTCATAGCCCAAATAAAAGTGAAGTCCAATGTGAAGCCTAAAGGCCACAAATGAAGTGGCAAAATGTGAAGCTCAAAGTCCACGAGTGAAGCAGCCAAGTCAAGTAGGTTTAACCCATGGATGCTCGTAGGAGAAATATGGTTTGGTTAGCCCACAAGTGAAGTGGTGGTTACGAACGAAGTGGCGGAAGATACTACAGGATGTTTGATAGGCATGTGCGAATGCGTGATTGATAGTTCAAACCAAGTTTGTGAATCCCATGGAAGATTGAAGTATAGTAAAACACTAAACTTTACTCACAAATTAAGGGAGAGATGTTGAGGTTATTAATGTGTAGTCCCACATCGGATAGGATAAGAAAGAGTGATAGGTTTAAAATAGGAGTTGCAGCCAATACCTAGTAGCTATAATTTTTGGATTAAAATTGGCTCTTAGCCTCTATTTAAAGACCATTAACTCCTAGATTGGGCCTGATTACTGCCAACAAACTGCTCTTCTTCATCAATTGATCTTGTGGTGACAAAGTTCTATAAGCATTATGATTAGCAAGGAGATCATCCTTGACGCATCTCCCATCGTCAATATGTTGAAGACATTGATCAACAAGATTCATCTAGTACTAACAAATGGTCAAACATCAATCACTACATCAACATGTCAGACATGGGTGGTTGATAGCTTCCACATATCCTATAGATATTGCACAATCCTTATGGCCTTATCTGATGGGGAGTACAACAGTATCAACATGCTTACAAAACCTCAAATAAAAAGCTCAACTTATTCATGTTACTGACTCAAACTCTGGCCGATAATCAGACGGCCTTGAGATTAACGATTGGTACATTTACAGAAAATTTTCGGCCTCCTCGCACTCAAAAAAACATGAATATTGAAACTATCGCCTAATCCAACTAATAAAACTTCCATTTTCTCTTCGAAATTAATCTGATTGGTCGAAGCTAACTCACACGCCATCTGAAGTAGCGTAATAACAATAATAAAAGCTTCCTTTTATCTAACTAGTCCTAAAGTAATTACTCATGAGTAAAAAAAACATAGAATAAAAACCACCGATAAAATCAAAAATGAAGATGAACTCGGTAAGGTTATCACCTAACTGAGGCGTTAAAGCATAGCGCCGAGACTCCGCCATCGCCTGAGATTCAACGAAACAGCGTAATTTCGTCGGTCGATTTCAGAGCTCCAGCGGATCTATCACCCAAATCAAGACTTCAAAGCTTAAGGGACAGAAAGGATCCTCGATCGAGCAGCCGATCGCTAGGGTTTTGAAAGGGGATTGAGTTTCGATTTTGAGGAAGATGGGAGGAAACAGCGGTCGATTTGGGGGAGAAAAAAAAATTGGGACTAAAAAGCGGAAGCGTTCACACGACGAAGTGACCTTTATGGCGGCCTTGAATGACGAAAACGCCCCTGGATTGTCGGAGGAATTACCGGGAATTTGGATCGGTGAAGCCTTTGACTGCTCGCTGCTTCTGGTCGCTTTCCGGCCGTTGACTGGTTGACTTTTGTCACGTGCGGGAAAACGTGAGCTGTGGATGTACTGTAGGATGCTTTGTCACTGGAAAGAATAAACGAGGCGGACGAGAATAATTGGTTCTTGGTTAGTTCGTTTTTATTAATGGCGATGAGAAGACTGATTTGGCTTTTTTCACGTGAATTATTTATGGTAATGAAGTAGCCAAGTAGGTGACATTTTTTAACCGTGTGCAGCGTTTGCTTGTTGTTTACGCATCTGACAGATCAAATTGGTGAAAAAATAACACTACACGCACACCCTTCCACCACACCTTGGGGCATACCCCGCTCACAGCTACAGTGCACGGGGCCCACTTTAGATTTTTTTTTAAATCTAAAGTGGGCCCCGTGTACTGTAGCTGTGAGAGGGGTGTGCCCATTTGAACAACCGAACCGAACCACTTATAATTCAAAACCGAACCGAACTGTTGCAAGTCGGTTCGGTGCGGTTTGGTTCGGTTTGTTCGGTTTGTTCGGTTCTAACTTCATCAAACTTCTTATCAAACAACAAATTGTGTTAAAGAAAAAAAATATCAACAAAGTAGGAGATTATGAAGCATTAAACACTAATATAATGATATTGTTTTTAACCCATAATGATCCAGAAAATAAGTTTAGAGTTTGAGTCTTTGACTCTTTGAGGACGGGTCGGGTAGGGTTTGAAATCAGAATGGGTAGTATTGCACTATATTCAGTCGGTTCGGGTCGGTTCGAGTTAAAAATATTTCAAACCGACCCGAACCGCCCTACTCATAAAACCGATTTTTTCGGGTCGGTTTTTTCGGTTTGGACCGAACCATGCTCAGCCCTAGCCCCAAGGTGTGGTGGAAGGGTTTACCTGTAGTACCACTCTTGTTGAAATTGTACTTTTACTTCTAAAAAGTATGGTACGACTTTAGTGACCGTTTGTTTGCCTAAAAAAAGAAATCAAAGAATAGTAAACTTTTTTTTAAAAAAAATTATTTTGGGATTGTTTGGTTGGCTAATAAAAGAATGGAAGATGAGTTGTTACATTATTATTAGATGATGTGGGTGATTTTTTTAAGAAAATTTGTTTAGAGGTTATTTGATTGGCTAAAAAAATAAGGAAATAAATTATAAGATATTTATTTCATGTAATAGGTTCTTTTCTTGTGTTTCGTTCATTCATAAAAATAAGAAAACAGATGAAATGAGATGAGTTATCATTATATTATTGGATGATGTGACCCACACTTGAGGAAATCGATTTCCTAGCTTTTTTGAAGGAAATTGGTGGAAATAAAATGTTAATGAGATGAGATGAGTTGTCACCATATTATTAGATGATGTGAGTGATTTTTAAAGATGTGATGTGATGGAGATGAGATAAGTTGGATGATGTGACCTATTTTTTGTGTTTGGTTTATTTTTAGGATATGATATGAGATGAGTTGTGGGATGAAAATAATATTTTATTTGATGTTGTTATGAGTTTTAGGGATAGAAATGGACGAAAATAATATTTTATTTATTTTCATGTACCATTTTCCTTTTCTTGATTTTTAGGAAACCAACCAAACAGCCCCTTAATGAATAACTTATACGTTTTAAATTTTCTAAGGGGGTTATTCAATGGGACATCTAGGAGGATAATGGGATATTTTTGGGGAGTTTATTTCATTGTGTTATTCATTAAGACAATGGAACAAGAATACTATCTTTTAGTGTTATTGGTTTATTAAAACACTAGTGAGATAACTTCACCATTTGGGATAAAATTATCTCACTCATATACAAATATTTCGTCTCAATAGTAAAAATTTGCCTCAACCTCTACATTGAAACAATTATGTTACACTTTGAAGGCAATTGGGGTAATTTTGAAACTTTTTCATATTACCTAACTAATACGTGTTAATTATATTCTAAATATATAACATGATATATAAAATATATAGTAATAATATATTCAATATACTATATTATATTGTCATGTAATAAAATAAAATATTATTATAGTTTAACTTATATGTATAATTTATTTTATTATATTTATTATATATTATTAAGCAATATCACATACTATATTATATTATACAATAGTACAACATATTTATTATAATATTATATAATACTTCAATAATATATATTATTATATAATATATTATATTAATTGTAATAAATATTTTAGTGTAGCAATTATATAACAGTGTATTATATCTGTTATGGTGTTTTTAGTCGTCAAAATATGACTCTTTGCCAGCAACGGACAGGTGTCCCCCTACATGCACCGCTCAAATCGAATTGACGGTCAGGACCACAAAAAATCCCGACTTAACTGACTTGTTGAGTCGACATCTCCTTAGATCGACTCAAATAGCGGTACTTGTCGGTCCTCTTATCGAAGACGACTCACTACGAGCTCACTCGACCAATTATTCGACACATTGCAAGGTCGACTCGAAAATACGTTACTTCTCGACACCCCTCGCTACAAGCCAAAGGATGACTTCAACCTTGAACCTCCCCTGCTGACAGCGCGTCCGACATCTCCTTAGATCGACTCAAATAGCGGTACTTGTCGGTCCTCTTATCGAAGACGACTCACTACGAGCTCACTCGACCAATTATTCGACACATTGCAAGGTCGACTCGAAAATACGTTACTTCTCGACACCCCTCGCTACAAGCCAAAGGATGACTTCAACCTTGAACCTCCCCTGCTGACAGCGCGTC